ACATCTTTATATTCAAAATGATGCATTTAAAATGTTCCTTTTAAAATGGTTTATAATTCTTTCTAAATGAGCAAAACCAGAAATTGCTTTGTAGTGAATAAACTGATAATAAATGATGTTGTATGTTCATTTTTAAAATTTCTTTAAAGAATAACTGATAATTAAAAACTAATTTGAAAAGGTTACTTGTGCACTCCTAATTTATCCCAATTTAAATACTGTTTTTTTTTTTATTTTGGTAGTAATGTGAGAGTTGAAAATGACAAATTCTGGCTTTGTGTCACATTTGTTAGTTATATGGGCACTGAAAAATACTTTATATAATGATAAAGTTGGTGAAAAACATATTTAGATTCCTGTATTTTAAAAAGAAAAAGAATTTTTGTTCATGTTTATCTCTTCTATGAAAAAGAAAAAAAAATACCAAATCATTTTAAACATTTTTTATATATAAAATATTTTAAAGAATCTAATTCTTACATTCTTTATAATTAGTACTGATACATTTTAAAATAGCAGTTTGTAGATACTAACCAATCATTGGACTGTATATGGCAGCAACTTTCCAAAGAATAGCTTGAAAGAATTTACTTAAAATGATCCAATTTTACTAAATGGAGATGTTGTTATGAGGAAAAAATTTTTTTTTTTGAGTGTCTTGAAAGATTTTCTTGTCTTCAAAGATGGAATCTGTTGATCCCCAGGATAAATGTGGTAAATTCCAATAAGCTGTTAAGAAAATAGCCGATAGAGAGAAAGGTTAACTAAAATTAAAAAATAAAGAAAAAAGAATTTTAAGAATTTTTTTCACAAGACAGGATTTCATATGAAACAGCTGTTTATAAAAATATAGAATAACTATATTAAAAACATAAAGAAATATTGTATATATGTGTAAAACCTATGAAGAAAAGCATTTATTTTATACAAATAAATATTTATTTTTCCAAATAATCCAAGAAAGAAAGAGGCAAAGAATTTAGTGGTATATGTTAATCTCATAGATGCAATATATTCAATGTAAATTTCAAATTCAGATGAAAACCAAGAATGTCAAGAATGTTGGATTTTTTATCCTGTTTCAATAATAAAATGTAGAATCAGATTGTTTCCAAACTGATGAATGTATTTTATCATATAATATAAAAGAAAGAAAGAAAAATGCAAGAAAGAAAGAATGATATTATTTTTGCATTTTCTCCAAGTGTGAATGGTACTGTTTCTTAACATCTGACTCATTCTTCAAATTGAATTCTAGAAATAATCCAGAACATGTAAAACTTAAGAAATATGTTAATAGAAATAGCATATGAATCAATATTCTTGGATATAAAATATCAAAATTAGCTTTTAAAATAAATGAACAGGACTATCCAACATATTGCATCAATAAATGAATGAACAAATAACCTATTCTAATGACTGTTTTCCCCAGGTTTTGCATCAAGACATCCAGATTGACAGATATATGCAGCTGAATAAGACTTTAATGAAAACTAGCTGTTAGAATAAAACTATCTTTTTATACATTCAAATTGGATCATACAACCTGGGTTTTAGACTGTTAAAGGAAACAGGAAAGCCTTCGATTGGTTAGAAATTATGATTGTATTTCTTGAATATTTTATTTATTTTAAGGATGTTATTTTTGGTGGAAGATATGCATCTATCACAAGTTTCATCTTTTGAGTTCTGCAGTCTGAGGGTTTTTTTTTTCAGATCTGGTTACTGTCTCATCTTCAAAAATGAATCCTGTTCTTTGTTTATGTATGTATGTAAGTATGTATGTATGTCACAGTAATTCAAGAAGAATTCCAATCTAATAGAAGCATAATAAAAAAAAAAAAAAATTTTAAAAATCTTAATCTTCAAAATCTTGGCCTTGTTTGGAAAAAACTGAAAAATGAAAAAAAATTCATTGCTTGCAATTTAAAAAAAAAGAAATTTCCTGGAGAAATAATGGTTACTAGCATCATTCTTTTTTATTCTTTCTGTTTTCAGTGTCTCTCTTTCACAATGAATAGCATTTTGTACATTTTGATTCTCCATTCAACATTTGGATCAGGGTACATAAGGAATCAGAAGCATCTTGTTTTTTTTTTTAAGAAAGTTCAAAGTTCATCAAATGAAACTTTTCTTTATAATGATTCTTTGGCTCTAATTTCTTGAGACTTTGATGTCTACATCATTTGAATAAGACTCAATGCATTGACACACATTGATAAAATCTAAATTTTTAAACTATGAACTGCCTACACAATTTTTTATAAAAAACACAATTAACATCAGAATGTAAACAAATAAAAAAACTTCAGTATACAATGTAGTAAATTACCAAAGAAGAAAAATAAATTTCACTCACCTGTAGAATGTGGTGCACCAATTATGGCATCAACTTTGTAATGATTCTTTAACATTACAGCTTTACCAATTCCTTCAACAGGATCAGCTTTTATCTTCCCAGATTATCCTTGAAAATTAAACATAACTTCAGACATATACATAAAATCCCAGACATTCAGTTAAAACTAAAAATAAAACTTTTTTCCCTTCATAATATGCAAAAGCACTTGAATATTTCTTTCTTTTAGACAGTTTTATACAATTTTGTCCTTCAAGTCTTTTATTATATGAACACAAGAAAAAGTCCTAAATTCATTTTTTTTCTTTTCTTTCTTTCTTTTCTTTCTTTCTTCTTTGGCTTAATTTTTCCTTCAAGTTGTTATTTTTTTTTTTTGTTTTGTAAATTCATTCATTTTTTTCTTTCTTTCTTTCTTTCTTTCTTTCTTTCTTTCTTTCTTTCTTTCTTTCCCAAAATACTTTATTTTGTTTTTACTTTACATTTTTTTCACAAATCCAGAATTTGTTGGCTTTTTCTTTTTTCTACCTTGACAAATTCTTTCTTTCTTTGGATTAAGCTTCCTTCACTTTCATCTTCATTTCTTTTTTCCTTTCCTCTTTCTTTCTTTCTTTGAGAGTCAATCAGAAATAATGAGGAGGTATTAACCCCTGACCCCAAGCATGCACATGGGATGATGGGTAGCTAGCCATGCACATCATTCCATCGTCGCAAGGATCAATGAGTTGAGACATACGGATGCTGCACTCAACAATAGCAACACTGAGAAACAATACACCGTAGTATGATTTCTGTGGGCAGATGGAGTTAAACCTGCAGAAATTCATCACCTGACTTTGGCACAGTATGAAACACACATAATGTATCAACGAAAGGTGGGTAGAACGTTTTAAAGTGGGAAGAACAAGAGTAACAGTTAAATCCAATCTGGCCATCTATCAACATTATGCACGGGAGAACACATTTTGAAGGTGGATGACTTGATTAAGAAAGACCGATGAATCATCTTTGTCCAAGTGGTAGCAATTGTGGGCTATGGATCTTCATGTGCCATAATATATGAGGACTTGGGATCCTGTAAAGTTTGTGTGGATTGGATGTCCAAACAAACAAGCGGTGTAAACGTGGCTTTGTGAGCAACCGAAAAGCTTCTTTTCGGTAGAGATGAAGAAGCTGATTGAATGATATCACTGTGCAGGCAACAATGTCAAAAAAGCAACAAATGTATTTGTTCTCCATCAGTGGAAATAGAAGTGTTGTATAGAAATTGCCTTTACTTTTTCATTTACCATTATATTTCCGCTCATTCTTGGGCTTATTTCATTCCTTTAATTTGTTACTTTCTTGCCTGGACTTAATTTTTCATTCCCTTGTATCTTTTTCTTTGCCTTTTCTTTGCTTAAATTTCCTTCCATTCTTTATTTCTTTCTTTCTTTTTTCTTTCGCTTTTTTTTTCTTTCTTTATTTGGCTTAAATTTCCTTCCATTTTTTATTTCTTTTGTTTTTTTTATTCTTCTTTTCTTTTCTTTTTTCTTTGCTTTTCTTCTTTCTTTTTTCTTTTTCTTCTCTTTATTTTTCTTTCTTTCTTTTTCTTCCTTCCTTTTATTCTTTCTTTCTTTGGCATTTTTATCTTTATTTCTTTCTTTCTTTCTTTGGCCTAATTTTCCTTCCCTTCTTTATTTCTTTCTTTCTTTCTTTAGCTTAATTTTCCTTCCCTTCTTTCTTTTATTCTTTCTTTCATTATTTGGCTTAATTTCCCTTCCTTCTTTCTTTTCTTTCTATGGCTAATTTTTTCCTTTCCTTTTTCTTTTTTTCTTTTCTTTGTTTATTTTTCTTCCCTTTTTTCATTCTTTCTTTCTTTATTTGGCTTAATTTCCCTTTCTTTCTTTCTTTCTTCTTTGGCTTAATTCTCATTTCCTTCTTTCTTTCTTTTTGTCTTTCTTTGCTTAGTTTTTCTTCCCTTTTTTCATTCTTTATTTCTTTCTTTGGCTTAATTTTACTTCCCTTCTTTCTTTTTTTCTTTCTTTTTTTTCTTTCTTTCTTTCTTTGGTTTAATTTCCCTTTCCTTTTCTTTCTTTCTTTCTTTCTTTCTTTCTTTCTTTCTTTGGCTTAATTCTTATTTCCTTTTTTCTTTATTGCTGACTTTCTTTGGGTTAATTTTTCATCCCAGTTTTCATTCTTTTTTCTTTTAGCTGCAAGGGTAATTTTTTTTCTTTTCTTTTTGCTTAATTTTTCCTTATTTTATTTCTTTTCATCTTCCATTTTTAACCCACATTCTCCCCACCCACCTTGTCCTTGTTAAAGTGCAAAGAAAATCTATTCGTTCCTTGCTTCAAGGCCTCCTGTCATATTGCAAAAATGGCCCATCCTTTCTTGTTTCATTTTAAATGCTGATGGGACGATCACGAGAACAGTTATTCCAGTCCAGTTTGCTTTTCATCCTGAAGAATTTGATTTCTCTTTGAGACTCATTCTAAAAAACAGGCAGTTCCAAACCTAACCAGGAATGGACGTTTAAAGAATTTGCAAATATTGCTGAGAACTGGCTCAAGGTCAACAATGATCAGAGATAAGGAGACAGTATTGAATGGCTTATGAGATCAATTTGTTATTGTATTTACAACAGCGGATAAGGACAAATTCATTGACAGAGGGAAAGAAAGAAAGAAAGAAAGAAAGAAAGAAAGAAAAAAAGAAAGAAAGAATGAAAAAAGAGTATTTGAAAATAAATATGGAAAAAAAGATAACTGAAATAACCAGATACCTGTCAAAAGAAAGGAAAATGAAAATAAAAGAAAGAAACAAAGAAAATTGGAACATAGAAGAGAGAAAGAAAAATTGAAAAGAAAAAAGAAAGAAAGAAAAATTGAAAATAAAGGAAAGAAAGGAAGAAAATAAAGGAAATAAAGAAAGAAAGAAAGAAAGAAAGAAAAATTGAAAAGAAAACAAACAAAGAAAGAATAAAGAAAAATTGAAAATAAAAGAAAGAAAAAAGAAAAACTGAAAATAAATGAGAAAAAAATTCAAAAGAAAAAAGAGAGAAAGAAAAATTGAAAATAAAAGAAAGACAGCAAGAAAGAAAGAAAAATTGAAAAGAGTAAGCAAAAAGAAAGAAAGAAAGAAAGAAAGAATGATGAGTGGAAAGAAAGGAGGAATAAAAAGCATAAGTTGAAATAAATACATAAATCAAAAGAGATAAATAAAAAGAAAAAATAAAGAAAATTAAGTGAAAAGAAAGAAAGATAGAAAGCAAAATGAAGAGAAAAGAAAGAAAGATGTGAAAAGAAAAAAAAAGAAGATTTAATGATAATTTTTAGGAGTAACTTATTTTAACTAAATTTACACGTTAATATTTTTTCCTTTTTTAACTATTATTATTCATAATGTAAATAAATAACTTGATTAATTTATTTTAAGCAATTTTATTTCTCTTAATCTTTAAATGGAATTTATTAAGCAATCAATATACATATGCCATTATTATCAAGAGCTTGATATACATATATACATGATGGTTGTAAGCACATCAGCAGCAGATCAGGCAAAACAGAATCCTTATTGTCAGCGAGCAAAATAAAGGGTTCAGTTCGACATTCCAACCACCTGAAGAAGGTTGGAGTGTACAACGGCCAAAATGTGATAAATATGGCAACAAAGATGAGGACAATAGTCGAATGTAAATAGTACATAATATCCCATCTCAGAAATGAATGATAAATGATGGATAAATATGGCAACAAAGATGAGGACAATGGTCTGAACAATGTAAATAGTTTACATAATACCTCATCTCAGAAATAGACAAAGATGAGACAATGGTTTCAAATAATGTAAAATAGTCATAATAATTCATCTCAAAATATTGATATACTGAAGGATCAAAACATGAACAAAAAATGAGGACAATAGTCCGAATAATGTAAATAGTGTACATAATACCTCATCTCAGAAATATAGACAGATACTGAAGGATGGGATAAATATGGCAACAAAGATGAGGACAATAGTCCGAATAATGTAAATAGTGTACATAATACCTCATCTCAGAAATATAGACAGATACTGAAGGATCGGATAAATATGGCAACAAAGATGAGGACAATAGTCCAAATAATGTAAATAGCGTACATAATAGCTCATCTCAGAAATATAGACAGAATCCATATTTTTTGTCTGAGAGTAAGTCATGAGAGTTAAAATCCTTCATCATTTCAACATGATCAAAGCAGTAAGATATTAATAGTTTGATCGTTAGAGGGTTCAGAAGATTCTCCAAAGTTCTTAAAACAGGGACTACAGAGGAGGATTTCCAACAAGCTGAAAAGCAGGAAGCAGTGAGGCAATATTTGCAAAGTTTGGAGAGAACTAGGGCTTGTTTGGGAGCACATTTCTTTAGGATGTCAGCTAGTATTCTGTCACCTCCTCTTTGCCTTATGGGAGTCTAATTTAGAAATGATGTCCGAGACCAATGACAGGGTTAGGCACATATCATTCAGTGTAGCCTCAGTTCTAGGTGGGGAAATCAGGTGTTGGTACTCCAGATGTGTTGAGTGTAGAGTTAGAAGAAAATTTCCGAGCAAGGCATTCAACCTTATCTGCTGTAGATGTCAGGACTTCGAATTGACTGAATAGGGGAGAGGGTGGAGGATTTGTTGTTGTTCAGTACACAACTGCAGAGCCACCAATAATCTCTAGAACCAGACTTGTGTCATGCTATGCATTCTTTTATTCTATCTGCAAACAGTAACTTTGTTTCAATGAGGACAGACTTACACTTATGAGAAGATACAAAGAGACGTCTGTTGCAATCAGATATGTTGCTCAGGTACAGATGGAAGAAGTGATTCCTGTGGGCTATAGCGGCTGAGCATGCAGGTGAGAACCAAGCAGTTTAACTTGGTATTTCCTTGCTGGAATGAAAGAATCGATGCCTGCTTTCACCCAGGAGGAGACATCAGATGTGCATTTTTGAACAGGTTTTTTAAAGACTTCTTTCCATGGGACATCATGAAGGAAATCCCAGAACGAGTCCCAATCTGCTCATTGATAACAGAAGGATATTCTGTTGGTATGAAGTTCTTGGCTGGTGGGGGAGTGGAAGGAGATGTTTACAGACACTACTGCATGATCAGAGTTGCCAAGACGGCAGAGCTGCATAGTATGACATGAGTCAGGAATAGGGGTAAAAGAAGAGATTGAGAAGAGAAGCATGACTCTCAGGGTTACTGGGGAAATGCATGGGGAAGTGAACCATTTGCATGAGAGATTGAATGATGGAGAAGTTAAGGGTTTGGATGTCAGCGAGATCAGAGATAGAGTGTTTAAGTCACTTGGTATGGTAGATGTTAAAGTCACTGAACACGAATATGTTTGCAAGCAGGTGGAGGGAGATGGCCTTGTCTGTATGATCAGAAATGCAATCTAGCATCTTGAAAAGAAAGGGAAACAACAGAGAAAGAAGAGCTAGCTGACTGAGTTAAGTAGAGAGAGATGGGGACACATGTAAAAATGGTTTGTAGATTCAAGAGAGAGTTCACTAGCCAATGGGAGATGTTTGCGAACATAAACTCCCAAGCCATACATGTGGACTTTAGTGTCCTTTCTAAGGAGAGGAAGGTAGCCAGGAATTGAGAAATCAGAGAAGGGGATTGAATAGTTAAGGTTAGTCTTGCAGACAGCAAAGTAGATTTTCAAGATGGATTTTCAAGATAGATAGATACACATGAAAAAACTGAGATAAGGAGGTAAATATGAAAAAACAGATAGATAGGTAGATATATAGATAGTGAACATCAACATATAGATAGACAGATATGAAGAAACTGATATAGATAGATAGATCGATAAAATGTTCAAGATAGATAGATAGCTAGATAGATAGATAGATAGATAGATATGAAAAGACTGGAATAGGGAGGTAAATATGAAAAAACTTACATCTAGTGAGCATCAATATATAGACAGACAGACAGATACGAAGAAACTGAGAAAGATAAATAGTGAACATCAATATATAGATAGACAGACAGATATGAAGAAAACGAATATATATATATATATATATATATATATATATATAGATAGATAATAGATATATGATAGATAGATATAAAACTGAGATAAATAAAAGAAAAAAACTGGATACAGATAGATCAATATGAACAAGTTGCCATAGATGTGGACAGACTCCAGATAGATAGATAGAATAGATAGATAGATAGATAGATAGATAGATCTGTAAAGAATGAAAGATAATAGATAGATAGATAGATAGATAATAGATAGAATGAAAGAGATAGATAGATGATAGAATGGAGATAGATAGATTGATTGATAGATAAATAAAGATCGATAGAATGAAATAGATAAACATAGATGAATGTATAGAAAGATAGATAGTATAGATAGATGAATGGATAGATAGATCAGAATGAGATAGATAGATAGATAGATAGATAGATAATGATCAGAATGAGATAGATAGATAGATAGATAGATAGATAGATAGATGATAGATAGATTTTTGAAGAGGAATGATTCAACATACAGAAAAGTTGAATGAGCAAAGAAAACAGAATATTGGAGAAAGAAAAGAAAAGAAAAGTTGAGAGAGGAAATTTTGTTGAGAGATTTAGGTTTATATCTTTGGTTGAAATACCATGAAAGATAAAGGTGTTAGAAAAAAAGGTGCCTAAAGTACCGGGGTAGTAGGAAGAGTTTGATATCTAATGAACATGTTTAAAATATCGAAAGAAATTGGAGCCAAAAACAACGTAAAGTTATTTGCAGGGAAAGAAAGAAAGATGAATAGAGAGAAAGTCGGAATGAAAAGTATAAATTAATTGAAATACGCACATAGATCAAAAGAGATAGACAAGAAGAAAGAAAAAAGAAGGAAAGAGTAAAATGAAAGACAGAAAAGCAAGAATTGTGAAGTTAAAGAAAGAAAATTGTGCTGTAAAATAAAGAAAAAAAAGAAGAAAAGAAGAAAGAAGAAAATGAAAGATAGAAAGAAAGAATGATGAAGTTAAAAGAAAGAAAAGAAAAAAGAAACTGTAAGTTAAAAGGAAGAAAGAAGAAAGAAAAAGTGAAAAGAAAGAAAGAAGGGTAGCCCATCTATAAAATAAGTCCCAAATATAAGGCATTGAACGATAGACTGATTCATTGCAGCCACTCTTGTGTCTGTCTGTAAAAGGAAAAGGAGAGAAGACTTAACAGTGAATCTTTTTAAGTGGACGACAAGATTAGAGTAGAATTTTTTGTACAAGGCTTTAGTATTTTCCGTCACTTAATGATTTCAATTTTGTTCTTACACATGATGGCTTCAGCACTTATCAGAATGTCGTCTGCACTCTGATTTAGATGCTGGTCATGAAAACCTAATTTCTGATGGGAGAGTAATTTATATGCGTTTAGTTATCCGATTATCTCTCTCTTCTGATCACTTTCCTATTTTCTTGCTCTCATATTGTCTGTCTATTTCTATCTTCAATTTATCTCTCTTTATCTGTCACATACTTTTATATATCTGCATCAGCCTTTTTCTTCCTTTCTGTCGATCATTTACAGTTTGTTCATATCTATCTGTCCATCTATTTATCTATCTATATACTGATGTTCACTATCTATCTATCTATCTTCTATCTATCTATCTATATCATTCTATCTTTTCTATCTATCTCATCTAGCTATTAATCTATTTATATCTATCTATCTAAGTGAGTTTGTCCATATCTATCTATGTCAACTTCTTCATATTGATCTATCTGTATCATTTTTCATATTTATGTATCTCAGTTTTTTTTTTCTATCTATCTATCTATCTAATCTATTCATTCATCTATCTATCTATCTATCTATCTATCTATCTATATATATATATCTATTCTATCTATTATTCATTCATCTATTCATTCATTCATCTATCTATCTATTCATCTATCTATCTATCTATCTATCTATCTCAATATGTTTATTCTATCTATCTATATCTATCATCTATCTATATATATCTATATATATCTATTATATATAAATCTATTTATCATTTATTCATTCATCTATATTATCTATCTTATCTATCTATCTATCTATCTATCTTTCTATCTATTCGATTTATCTATCTTTATATTTTCAATCTAAAAATATTTATATATATATTTTTTTTCTATTATTTCATTTATTTTTCAATCTATGTATTTCTATCTTCTATTAAAAGTTCTGTCATATCTATCTTCTTTCTATCTATCTTCTATATGATTATCCATTTATCCATTTATTCATCTATTCATTTATCTATATCTATCATCTTTATATTTATTTATCCATCTTCTATCTATCTATCTATTTTGGTTTACTTTTATCCATATCAGATATCTATCTTTTTTATTTGTTTATTTTCCATTATCAGATTCTATTCAAAAATCTATCAAAATTTAATAATTCTTTGACATATATATAAAGTCTACAGATGAAGTGTTTGTTTTTTGTCTTTGAAAATATATGTATTTATCTGTAGATTTTCAAATTTTTAATATATAAATATGTATATATACATATAATCCAAATAGATACAAATGTCTCTCAAAAATACATTAAAATTTGTACAACAAAATGCTTTCACTGAAATAAAGATAAGCAAAATTTCTATCATTCTATATAATGGCTTTTTTTAGGCTTTCCATTTGAAATTTATCTGATTCAAATCAAAAAAATTTTAAAGTAAAATTTAAAGAATTTTCAAAAATTAAAATTCATATAAAAATTTGGGAACATTCTTTTAATATCCATAAATACATAAAAATTGGATCTATTTATTTTTTATTCTTTACAAAGAAATTTTCAAAAAAAAATATATTTGTTTAATTTTTTGAACTTCTTTTATTTGTAACAATATTTAAATTTAAACATTGGTTAATAAAAATTTATTTGGAGAAGAATAGAATATATTTTTATAAATGTTTCTAATTTGATACAATATTCATTTTTCCAATTTTTCCAAAATCAAAATACATATTGAGATTCTTCTATTATAAATTTTTGTAATCGGATTGGTTTATATAAAAATAAATATCTTTAACAAATATTTCAAAAAAATAAGGAAAATACAAAAAAATTTTATCAATCATTTTCTTCAAAAAATTTTTCAATTTATGAAATAATCTTTAAAATTTGATCTTATTTATATTTTGGAATATATAAATAAAATGTATATATATTGATATAAAACTTATGAATAAATTTTTTTATTTTAAAAAAAAAATAAATTTTTTATTTTAACACAATTGCATATATATATAATATATATATATTTAAGATATTTAAACAAATTCCTACTTATAATATTTTGTCTATTCTCATATGAATATCCATCTGAAGGTTTCCAATCCGCATGACTTATCCTTAAATAAAATTGTTTATTGATTTCAAAATTATTTTCATTAATTTTTTTCCTATGATCTTCTTAAACATTTGATCCAAAAAGATCTTCATATTATTTTCCATTTAAAAGATAGATAGATAATTAATTATTTTTCAAAAATTTTTTCATAAATAATAAAATTGTATAATATTGATTTAATACTGTTTTTTATATTCATAGATATCTGTAAAATATTTATATAGATAGAGATATTATTTATCATAAACATTTCCTATAAAGATTTTATGAATATCCTTTTAGAAAGACGAAACAGATAGATCCATAGAAGGTGAAAAAAAAATTTAAATCAAATTCTTTTTAAAATTTATCTAAAATAAACAGATTTTTTTTTTCATTTTTCATAATATCTTCTTATTCATAATACAAAAAATCCTTTTAGGTTCCATAGAATATTAAATAGAAAAAAATTTCTGAGTAAAAAACTATTCTAAATCTAAACAGAGATGTTAAAATGTCTATCATTTAAAAAAATAGAATTGTAAATTGAGGGATTTTTTAATATCTGAAAGAAAATTTATCTAGTTGGTTGAATTTTTATATATCAAATCAAATTTTTACAAAGAAATAGTTTATTATTGAAAGATTTATATAACGCTATATTGATCTATATATATATATACATATTTAAATCAATTGTCAAGGTACAAAGTTCAAAGAAAGAAATATATTAAGGAATTAAAATAAATATATATTTTTTATAATACAAAATCTATGAGAAGGCTTTGTTTGGAATATAAAGGTCCTCTAAACAATATTTTGTCTAAAAAACTATATCTTTCTGATCATTAAAAATTTATATCTATCTATTTTAATATATTCTCTTTCTTTACAGGTTAAAGAATTTATATTTTTTTCTATTCACATCTATTTATTTAACACAAGATCTATTTATAAAAAAATCATTTTGAATATATATATCAATTCAATCGAACCATGTTTATAAAACAAATCTAATTTATCCATGAAAATCAGTATTAAAATTATCTAAATAGAATCTATAATATAATAATTAATATCTATCTTTTTCTTACACTATCTATATATCTATATTATATAAACATATGTTTCCTTCAAAAATGGGATAAAATCTATCTAAAATCTCAGTTTATTGAAATCTATCTGATCCATAAATTATTTTAAAAAATAAATCATTTATCTTTATAATAAAATTTTATATATTATCATAAATATATATATATTTTTTTAAATTTTAAACTTTTTTCTTTGTTGGAATCAATCTTTTTCAAAACCTATTTAATCTATAAATATATCAATATTACTAATCATAGATAAAATTAATTTCAGGCTTTTGAAAAATAGTAATTTTATTTCTTTTATATATATATATATCATTTATATTCATATATATAAGATAAATTTATATATATATCTATATAAAGATCAAGATAAATATATCACACAAATAAGATTTAAAACATGAAATTCAAGAAAGGAAAATTTTAAAAAAAATATTAAGAAAATTATAACCAATATAATAAAATATATAATGAATGGCCAGAAAATTTTTTTTATATGTACATTTGAAATATAAATAATAAATATATATATATTTAAATAAAAAAGAATAAAGTCTTTATATAAAGAAAGTAATTTTCCGTTAAAGGTCAGAAAAAAAAAAAAGAAAAATCCAGTTTATATATGAAGAATTTAATAAGAAATAAATATAATTTGGAAATAAATACATTATTGTTTCAAAAAATTCGACATTTTTAAGAAATTCAAAATTAGCAAAAGAAGAAGTGTCAAATATAAAAAAAAATTTAAATAATTTTCATAAAAAATTTAAAAAATTGTAGGATTTATTATATATATATAATATATATATATATTTATATATATATATATATAAATTTATTCAAATGATGTTATGATGGCTATAAACAAATTATATTTTTGTTTTAAGAATACTAAAAAAATAAAATAAAATATTTGGTGGAGAATATTAATATAAAACAGAAAAAATTGAAATTCAAATTTTTTTTATTTATAAATATATATTAAAGAAACATATATATATATAATATATATATATATATAAATATAATATATATAAATAAATATATAAATTTGGATAAATATATAGTTTAAAAAGAACTTGATATTTTTTCAACAATTATGGAATTAGAGTTTTTTCAAAGTTCATAAGAAAATAAGAATGACATTTCAAAAAAAGAATATGAATATTTGTATAGATTGAAATTAATGAAATTTCACCTGAAAGAAAAAAGAAAAACATATGTTTTTTTTCGTTTTATTTTTAAGATTTTAAAAGAATTGAATTTTATGTTTATGAATTTGTTTATTTTAAAAAAATGGACCAAAAATTCAGCAAAGAATTCAAGAATCTTGAAAATTTTTTTGTAAGATTGTTTGTCAATTTGTTTTATTTTTAAAATTTACAAAAATTTTGTATTATTTTTTTAAGTATATATAAAAATGAAATTTGTGTTTTAAATATTCATTCATCTATATATATATATAAATAAGGGAATATTAAACCTGAAATATTTAATCCATCTATATAATTTCATGTTTATACATTTATTTATATATATACTTTTATTTATTAAATGAATTTTTTTTTATATAAACAGTTATTAACTATATTTCCTGAAAAACATCAATAATCTAGAAAATATATTTTTATTTTGATGTATTATCTATTTATTTGTGGAAAAATGTTCATAAGATCTATCTATCTATCTATCATCTATCTTTCCATCTATCCTTTATTTTTTAAATAAATTTATTTTTTTTACATTTCTATCCCTCATATTTTAAATCAATTTTTTATTTTGATCAATTATATTCATCTATCATTCATTTATATCTATCTATCTATCTAATTTATCTATCATTGGGGTATTATTTATTTTTTCATTCATCATATAACTATCTATATTATTTCTTTTAATCATTCTATCTATCATCTATCTATCTATCTATCTATCCAATCATCTATTTTTTATTATTTTTCATCGATCTATCTATCTATCTCATCTATCTATCTATTCATCTATCTATCTATCTATCTATTCTATCTATCTATCTATAAAGATTTAGATATTTATTTATCTATCTATCTATCTTCTATCTGTCTTATCTATCTATCTATCTATTTATTTATATTTCTATCTTATCTATCTATTTATCTATCTATCTATCTATCATCATCTATCTATCTATCTATCTATTCATCTATTCATCTATATCATCTATCTATTCATCTATCTATCTATCATCTATCTATCTATCTATCATCTATCTATTCATCTATTCTATTCATTCATTCATCTATTCATTCATCTATCTATCTATTCATTCATTCATCTATCAATAAATCATTTAACGTTAGGAACTTCTGCCATACCAACCATATTCTCCTGATTTAGCCCATTCAAACTATCATCATTTCTGTTCACTTTCTAACAATTTGCGGGGTGTTTCATTCAACAATGATGTGGAGCTTAAAACAAAGCTTGATGAATTGTTCAAGTCAAATCTTAGTGATTTCTATCATTGAGGCATTGAACAGTTAATGGATCTTTGGCTGTCGGTCGTAAACCATGAAGGGGAATAGATTGTTGAATCCTTCATCAGAACTATTAATAAATAATAAGTATTAAAATAAATTATAAAAACGAATGAATTTATGTAACAACCCCAAAAATATATAATATATAAAGAAAAGCAAGACAAAAGTACAAACCATCAGAAAGAAAGAAAGAATAAAAGAAAGAAGGGAAGGAAAATTAAGCCAAAGAAAGAAAGATTGTAAGGAGACAGAATTTATGGTCATAAGCTAAAGGGCATCTCAACATCTAACCTACAAATTGGAGATGTCAAAATCAAACCAGTACAGAAGTTTAACTATCTGGGCAGTTTCTTTAACAGAGAATAGAATAAGATGTGATGCCAAAATCCAGACGTGCATTGGAATCGTAAAAAATGCCTTCCAAAATCTCAACAAAGCATTAAGAAATTGTTAGAATCAAAGAAGACAGCGTCAAATTTTTATGCAATATCTAATCACCTCTATGGGAGGTGATTAGAACAATTTCCTTGTAGATAAAGAGGAGGCTTGAGACAAGTGAAATATGGTAATACACACTTTAAAATAAAATAAAAATTGGTCCTCAAACAAGATGAAGCAACATAAATGAAATATATGAACTATAAAAAAAAAACTTCCAAAATCTCCATCCTTAAGTTCACATACGAACTTAACAATAACAATAAAATCCCTTTTCTTGATGTATTGATGATAGACACTAATAATAATAAATTTACTACCTCCCAATATAAAAAAAATACAAGTAGCATAAACATGGTTCTCAACTCTAAAAAAGTGAATGTCCTATTACAAAATAGCGATTATACAAAATTGAATAAACCGTGCAATATATAATAACATTTGGATTAAAATAAATCCATTGATTCTTTAGAAATATCTTATATATATATATATATATATATATATATATATATATACAGTGGCGTAGCTAGAGTAAACGTCACCCGGGGGTGGTCCGCTCAAATGTCACCCCAATGACCCCAATTCACCCTATGCTGAATGGTTAGCTGTAACTAAATTTTCATACATGCTCTACCTCTACTTTACTCTACTGACCGGTACGTTACTGTTTACATGTATGATCCAAGACAAAATCCAATACCACAAAATAATCAGTTCAAATCAAAAGCCAAAAACATTGCTATTTTTCCTACTCACAAATTTCCCACAATTTATTAGAAAAATTTCTGACGGGGGACAAAACTGGGGGGGCATAAATTATTTCTGGGGAGTCATATGCCCGCCTGTGAAACCCTGTGTCTCCACCACTGTTTTCAGACTATTTTTGGCATCTTAGCCTCGTTGAAAAATTTTGTTGGAGGTGACATTGTGTCACCCTCCTGTGTGGCACCCATGGTCAGCCCTTGTATCATCCGCCTTAAGCTACTGTATATATATATATATATATATATATATATATTCTAAGCAATTAATGTATTTTATTTATTATTCGACATTAGTGAGGAGTCAGGTTTGAACTCTGTCAAAATTAAGGCTCTTGAATGCATATAAATTTGCACTACTTAAAAGCAGCGATGTTTATTCAAGCACGTGTATCCAGTAAATATAACATTTAAACTATTCTTGACTTGTACTACTGAGGTTTCCTTCTATCACAATCAAAATATGACGGTTCCATATAGGATACAGGTTTGAATCCTGTCAAAGGTCAAATATTTTCTATGAAAATTTCTCGGACATTCAGGCCGGTAAATGTTATTTAATACTGTTTATTATAAACAATGCATTTACTTAAATACTTGTATCTATAAAAAGAATGTTAAACATAAAATGTCTTTAAATATATATATATATATATATATATATATATATATATATATATATACGTTTCATTAAATAATATAGACAACGTATTTTTAACATATTCTTAAATTTTTTAAATTTAAGAAAAATGTTTTTGGTTTTGATATTCTATGTATCATTTGTATTCTTAATATTTTAATTTATTTTTAAATTTTGAATGGTTTATATAACTTTTTTCTTAATATTTTTTCTTAATATCTTTTCTTAATATAAACTATCTAAGGATGATTTATTGTTAACCTTATATTTTATTTGTAAGCATATTTTTGTAAATTTGAGTGTTAAATTTTTTTTATTTTCATATAATTAGTTAATAATTTTCATATTTAAAAACTTTTTTTCTTCAGTTTCCCTTAGCATAATATCTTCCTTCCTATAACCGCAAACTGGGGTATTAATGGTTACATCAAAGTTGAATTGTGTAGTAAATTTTTCATTTAAGCCAAACATCCACCCTTCCTTACCATGACTTGGGCAGTATTTTTTGTTTTGTGTTGTCTGATAAATTAACTATGTATCATTTTTTTCAGCTGTTTCTTGCTAATTTAAATTTCAAGTTCCGAGACAATTCATTTTGGGTTAAATAAAATCAATGTACAGATGCTGGTGGAAATAGTCTATACCCATGAAGTAATTTTGATTTCCCTGTTACGTAATATATATATATATATATATATATATATATATATATATATATAAATGCATGTTTCATTAAATAATATAATCAAGTTTTGTCTATTTATTTTAAGCAAATTCCTTTCATATCGTCCGATAAGCTTAATAACATTATCATTGAAAGACGAAAGAAAATCACCATATTGATACATGTTTTCTTAATCCTATCTAAGGTTTCGCCTTACATAAGCCATCATCAAAGATGAAAATTACATTACAATATATTAAACAATACATGGACAAAACAACAATGATAGTCTGTTTTGTTTTCATGAAAGTTTCCAAGCAATGACAAACTTGTGCATATGAGCCACTGGAAGCGAAAATTGCACCGCAGCCCATGACATCACACATAACCAAGCGAGAGTGAAAACGAGAAGTATTAAGTATGGGAAGCCATTGGTATAAACCAATGGCTTCTGTTATCAATTATAGGCATTTAAGGATATTTTTAGAGTTTTCATAGTTTCAATGATAGTGTTATTAAGCTTATCAGATGATATGAAAGGAATTTACTTAAAATAAATAGACAAAACTTGTCTATATTATTTAATAAAACATGCATTAATGAAAAATGCTGCCTAAATACACACAATATACATATATATATATAGTACAGGTAATCGATCCATTGGTATTTAATCCAGGTTAAGCTTTGTAACATTAATTATTAAAACTGATCCACAAAAGAGATCCATGTATTTATTATAACAGAGCAAAATACAATTACCTCAACATAGGATATATATATATATATATATATATATATATATATATATATATATATATTTATCCGATGCAATGAGAATGAAAATAATATATAAATTCTAATGTTCACTGTATTAATCCAAAATAGGGCTTGATACTGATAATAGAGCAGTAATTGTTTATTATAATTTTATCATACGGACAAAAACAGTTTTTGTCTATATGATAAAACTGTTTTTGTCTATATGAAAAAATTATAATAAATAATATATATATTGAGCACTGTTGTGTAAAAAATAAAATAAAAATATCAATAAGAACACGGATTATATATCTTACTATTTCTTTCTTTTATTATATAATATATATATATATATATATATATATATATATATATATATCTATGAGGCAAATGATATTAAAGACAACAAATAATTTTGCTTTAAAATCAATAAAATTAATTGACTTTTCCAAATTATGAATAAACGTTCTCAGATAATGAGGAAAATCCACCAGAAATTGTTCAAAGTTCATTTTGGAAGAAATATGGTCCAAGCTTTCAACTTTCTTAAGTCATCATCAGGGTAGGTAGAAACACAGAATTGGCAAGTATGGAAAAGAATTAAATTTTATATATATATATATATATATATATATATATATATATATATATTATTATTATTATTATTGTGAATTATATTAATATAGAAATGCACTGCTAATGGTTTTACTATAGAAAGGCATCATAAATTGTTTCTCATTGTGGTGGTTACACAACTTTGGATACTACGATCTTGCTCTTCTACTAAAAGAATAAAACCTGCAGAAAAAGACCTATTTGCATCAGTGAATGTAAAGAAAGTGCAGTTGCAGTTGTCAGGTTTTGGTATAATTTGTTAAAACATTAACGGGGGTGTAATTGTAGACATGAAACAAATTAGATTTTGATTGTGCTGATAATGGCCCATTTAAGGAAATGAAGATGTCTAAAGAAATTTATTGCAAATTATCTTAATATAGAAATGCATTGTTAATGGTTTTACTATAGAAAAACATTGCAAATTGTTTTACCGCCAGATGTTTACATAACTTTGGATATTGCGATGTTGCTCTGCTGACTGTAGAAAGAGGAAAAACTGACTTTGAAGAAATTAGAGACCAATTTGTATCAGTAAATGCAAGGAAGACGCAGTTGGAATTGTCAAGCTTTCCTATAATATGTTAAAAGATTAACGAGTTTGTAATTGTATAAATGGTAACGATTGCAGATAAAAAATACAAATCAGATGTTGATTGTGTTGATAATGGTCCATTTAAAGAACTGAAGATGTCTAATGATCGGTGTGTCAGAATGAAAAACTGATTCAGTGGAACAAAAGACTTGATCATCGAACAGTGTATAATGCAGATGCATAAAATACAAGTAGTTTCTTTTAATAAAGGAACACCAAATTATATCAAACGACAGAAACAGCACCCAGTAACAGTGCTAATATATGGCTGTTATAATGTGTTATAGATGTGTTATAGAATATGTTATAGGATGTGTTATAGAAAAT